CTTCTTCAGTCAGACTCGTAGTTTTCCTGCTGGGTGGCTGATTAAGTCTGTGGCTCACACCCACACTAATCTCCTTATCAAACAGATGCTTGGCCTCACTCCTAGTGTTCTCTCCTGAACATGCTTTCTCCGTTTTGTTTTTTTTTTTGCATTGTGGATAGGCTGAGAATTTTCCAGATCTGTAAGTCCTGCTTCTCTTTTGACTATAATTCTGTCTTCAAGTTATCTCTCTCTTCTTGCATTTTATGAGAAGCAGTCAGGAGGAACTAAGCCGCTCCTTCAATATTTTGCTTAGAAATCTCCTCAGTTAAATACCCAGTTTCAGCACCTACATTCCACAAAACGCTAGAGCTCAAACACAATTCAGAGCCAAGTTCTTTGCCACTTTATAACAAGGATTGCCTTTTCTCCATTGTCCTTTCATAGTAACATGTCCCTCCTTTCTATCTGAGAGCTCATCAGAATGGCTTTTATGTAACTTCTATATTATCTACCAGTATTCTGCTCGTGATTACTTAGCTATTCTCTAAGAAGATGGAAGCTTTGTCTATAGCTCTCCTCTTTTCTTCCTGAGCTCTTAACAGAGTTGCCTTTAAAATTCTCTTCATGGAACTCTAAGCCTCTTCTAGCATGAGCTTAAAACACTTCCCATTATCCAGGTCCTAAGCCATTTGTACATTTTTATTTGTAAAAATACAAGGTATTTGTTACAGGAGTACTTCGCCCCCCACCTTCTTGGTACCAGTATCTGTACTGGGGTTTTCTAGAGACACAGAACCAATAGGATATATCTAGAGATGTAGAAAGAGATTTATTTTGAGGGATTGGCTCACACAGTTATGGAGGCTGAGAAGTCCCATTGTCTGCTGTCTGCAAGCTGGAGACCCAGAAAAGATGATGGTATTGTTCCAGTCCAAACCTGAAGGCCTGAGAACCATAGAAGCCAATGGGGTGGGTTCCAGTCTGAGTTTCAAGGCCCAAGAACTGGGGGAGAGGGTGTGAGGGTGTAAGTTCTCATCTGAGTCTAAAGGTCTGAGAACCAGGATCACCAGTGTCTAACAACAAGACAAGTTGGATGTTCCAGCTCCAACAGAGAGCCAATTTGCCTTCGTCCACCTTTTCTTGTACTTAGGCCATCAGTAGATTGTATGATGTCCACCTGCACTGGGCAGGACGATCTTCTTTACTCAGTTCAGCAATTCAAATGCTCATCTCTTCTGGAAACACCCTCACAGACCCAGAAATAGTGTTTGATCAGACCTTGGCATTGACTTGGCCCAAATTGACATGTAAAGTTAACCATCATATACCAATAGTGTCCATTTTTATTTTAACGTTTCCTGCTCTTTCTATACAAGAAGGGGAAAAGTGCTGTGTGCCCATTATTGTGAACATACCGAGTTGACTTTAGAGTCATCAAAGATCAGAAGTGACTGTTTAGGATGATGGGAAATGGGATAGCAGAGAAAAAATTACATTTTGTTCTGTTTGAATTACGCACCTCAGCTTTATACGGACACTGGCTGTTACAGGGGTGTCTACCACATGGATCAGCTGGGAAGTGGCAACATAAATTTATAATTCTGCCACTTAATAGAAAGCCTTAAAAAGTCCCATTGGTCAGTAAAGACAAGCTCCAGAAATGAAATTTTGGATAATTTTTCTGATATTTTTTCTGGGAGGTTATTATGAGTGATTAGGTGTTTCACGTTGATTTTTGATAGTGATTTTTTTAAGTGCAAAGGCCATGTCTAAACAGATTCCGACACATCCATACAGTGAAATACTACTCCAGCAATGAAAAAAAGCAAACTACTAATACACATAGATGAATCGTAAGAGCATTTATGCTGAGACAAAATTGTCTTACACAAAAGCATATGTACTATATGATTCTGTTTATATGGATTCTAGAACAGGCAAAACTGATCTTTGATAAAAACTAATCACAAAAGTAGGGAGGGCTGGAGACAGGCTGGGAAGGGATATGAGGGAATTCTCGTTAGGAGATTGGGGTACAAGGGTGTGCACATTTTTCAACACTCCTCAAATGTGCTTATGATTTTATTTTATGTAAATTTTACCCAAAAATATAAACAAAATGATGATATACATGTTGAGGTGTTTAGGACTGAAGTGTACTGATCTCTGTATTGACTTTGACTTGTAATCACCACTACAATGAAAAAGGATTGATGGATGCATAATAAGGCAAATGTAAAACCTTAATTGTAGAATCTAGCTGGTAGTTATTCAAGTACTCATTGTCCAATTCTTCGCATTTTCCTGTAGGTTTGAGAATGTTATAATACAATGTTAAGAATGTAATTTCAGGGGCACCTGGATGGCTCAGTCGTTAAACATCTGCCTTAGGCTCAGGTCATGATCCCAAGGTCCTGGGATCGAGCCCCACATCGGGCTCCCTGCTCCACGGGAAGCCTGCTTCTCCCACTCCCTCTCCCCGTGCTTGTGTTCCCTCTCTCGCTGTCTCTCTGTCAGATAAATAAAACTTTAAAAAAAATGTAATTTCAGAAAATAACTATTAATATAAAAAAACACAAAGGGCACAATGGTTAGTGTTTTTTGGTGATGCAATATTCTCTTAAACACTGAATATCCTTAGAGAAATCGAGCTACTTGTCAAAGGTAAATGAGAATTTTTTTTTTATTTATTTTTTATTTTTTTAAAAAAAAATTTTCTTTTTTAAAGATTTTATTTATTTATTTGAGAGAGAGAATGAGATAGAGCGAGCATGAGAGGGGGGAGGGTCAGAGGGAGAAGCAGACTCCCTGCTGAGCAGGGAGCCTGATGCGGGACTCCATCCCAGGACTCCAGGATCATGACCTGAGCCGAAGGCAGTCGCTTAACCAACTGAGCCACCCAGGCGCCCCGGTAAATGAGAATTTATTCCATTACCTTTGCTCAAAATGTTGCATAAAAGAGACATTTAAAATGATAAACACACAAGGGTTTCTGAATTTGAAATATGCCACATTGAATTGTTATGAGATTAAATTTATAATTAAAAAGCTACTTAGTATCATGTTTTTGAATACACGTCATTTCATTTTCAATTTTTCCTTTTGTTAACCTCCATGAACTATCTTTAAGACATGGTAGGTTCTGAAATCCAAAGAGGGATAATAAGCAGGTGATAGAATTCAATTAAGAAGAAGGTACTATTTTAATGATATAAATTAACTAATAAGTATTATTGAAAATATTGATTTTTAGGGTACAAGTAACATCACAGCATTGCCTTTTCATACCCTGAGAATTACTGAAATTTGGAAAGACTGGAATATAATTCAAAATGACCCTGACAGATTAGAGCATTTTATTTTTGTCAAAAGGACAAAATTCAATGGGAACTTGTACAAAAGTATACCCTTCAGGACCAAAACCAATAAATGGGGAAGGACCAGTTATGAATCTAGGATGTCAGCAATGACCATGTCAGCCTTGTTCACTGAATACTCACTGTCCTCTGTGCTATGATTGGATCCAGCTTTGGTACATATTTTTTTTCTAAGTTTTTATGTAAATTCCAGTTAGTTAATGTATAGTGTAGTATTAATTTCAGTAGTAGAATTTTGTGATTTACCACTTAGATACAACACCCAGTGCTCATCACAAGTGCCCTCCTTAATCCGCATCACCCATTTAACCCATCCCCCCACCCACGTCCCTTGCAGCAAAGAGTCTGTTTGATAGGTATTTTTAAGTAATATGGAGAAATAAGTAAAGGTTTAAAGAGGAACAAGATGACTAAAATAATGAAAAACTGGTCCTAGGAGGAAAATCTGAGAGAAGAGGAATTTCTCTAAATGCTTCCAGATTGAAAAGGTTCAAGTTCCCTTTGTTTATTACCATTTTCAATTACATGAGGTATTTTTATGGAGAGATTCTATGAAAAGCAAACAAGGGAAATGGATTTAAGTTGAGATAGTTGAGTTGTACAAATGGAAGGATCTCTTGACCTCAAGGTTGATTAAACTCAGGAATAATTATCAAGTGATGCTGTGGATTCTGCATCCCTGGAAAATTATATAAACAAAATATAAATTCTGAGTGGATCTAGATTGACCTGCCAGAGGTTGGGGGCAAGCCCTGATGATCCCTGGGAGGACCTAACTGGGGCTACATTCTATTAATAATGTTTCACTCCACAGTAAGAGTTTTGAAACAGCTTGATACTAAATTATATTCTTTCTATAAGGAATGGCAACTTTAAATTCACTTCACTCAGAAATTCCCCATGTTAATTTACAGCAGCCGTGACTGTGGATAGCAATACCATATTGTATACTTGAAATTTGCTAAAGGGGTAAATATCAACTGTTCTCACCACACACACACACAAAAAGAAAAGAAATCAATGATTATGTGAGGTAATGGATATGTCAATTAGCTTGATTGTGGTGGTGATTATTCCACAATGTAGAAATATTAGCAAAACATGAAGTTGAACACCTTAAATATAAATCATTTATGTTCGTGAATTAGATCAGTAAAGCTAGAAACAAATCCCTGTATTGAATGATTCTTCTTTTCATTAGACTTGTCTCCTAGTAAATCACTACGTGTTGCTTTGGTGACAGTTTGTAACACTGTTCTTAATTTAGTTTCTCTACTTTATAATTATTATAAAATAATTACAGTATATCCTGTCATTTTTCTCTTTAATGTTACAACATTATCATTAGGAGGACATTTTTAAATGTGAACCATTATGTTCATGAGTGTTTTCTGTCGGCGAGCAGGTCTCTATCTGAGCGTAAGTATGTTTCACATTCTTCGCTTTTTGATCCTGCCGGGTTGTCATTCCATCATCCAGACCAGTTAGGGTGGAAAGAGATAAAAATGTCATCTTGGTGAACGATTTCTCTTCTTTCTGAAAGTCAATATGGCAAAAATCCTCTTGCATTTTCCACTGTATCCTCTATTTCTGGTTTCTTAATCTCGTTGCGTGGTTCACTTTTATTCTTCTCCTTCACAGAGCAAAACTTGCTTCCTGTTGTGATGCTGCTCAAAACTTCATTGTTTCTCAGAATAACACTCCGGCTGGGACCAACATGAGTTATGAGGTGGAAAGCAAAAACGAAATCCTAATTAGAGAGAACATTTTTAATATGTTTCCAGTGGTGAGTAAAGATTTGTTGTGGTTGATTTGTGTTGCCATTGCAGGTGACTTTTCTCCCACGTTACACTGTAACTTACACTAATGGAGGAATTAACTTAGAATTAAAATACCATAGTTGTTTTGATGTAAAAGATGGTGGTAGTGGTCCCTTTTAAAAAGACAATTTTGAATGCAAGTGGCTCTGCAGGTAATGGTATTTATATCTTACATGATAAGCTCTCCAAGTCCTTGAGTCTTCATGACTCATCCTTGCATGAGATGAGCTACTTGGGCTTTCTGCATAGTAATTACTGGGGCTTGGGAAGAGGACCATTTTTCACCTGGAATAAGATTCTTCCAGTTGTCAGTTTTGGTGACTGAATCAATTCCTTCACAAAGAGCTGTGGGTTTATGTGGCTAATCTTTGGGAAGTAAATTTGTTAAGAATTCGTGGGGGCGCCTGGGTGGTGCAGTTGGTTAAGCATCCGACTCTTGGTTTCAGCTCAGGTCATGATCTCAGGGTCATGAGATTGAGCCCCACATCGGGGGCTCAGTGCAGAGTCTGCTTCAGATTCTCTCTCCCTCTCCCTCTACCACACCCCCGTGCTCTGTCTCTCTAAAATAAATACATAAATCTTAAAAAGAAAAAAAAAAAGAATTTGTGGTCAGTGAACATAACCTCACGTTCAGGGATTTCTGTGCAGTGTGTTTATTGATGTATCCCAAGCTCCAGAACATTCCCCAGTGCATATATGCATTCATTACATAGTCATTAAATAAACTAATGAGTAATGATACAGTGTCATTACAAGAAGAAACTTCTTTAATATAAATCTAAACTTGGGGAGAATTTTTGTCATGAAGAACAGCCTATCACTTATAAATATACACTCTCAGTCATCTTTTCATGATTTGATTAAAAGCAATTAAGCTAAGTCAATATGGTAAAAAATGGGATGACCTTATATATGCAGTTTACCAACTGTAGACTATTCAGTTCTTGAAATTAATTCCCTTTTGTTGGACCTTTGACTTCTTTTAAGTAATTTATTGGTCATGTAAGTTGTTACGGTTTTTCTTTTACTGTTATAATTCAAAGGAAGACTAATTGGCTGAGAATGATGGCAAAATGAATAGAAAATGATAGAGAAAAAATATTACAAATTTTCTGGAAGGAAAGGGAGACGTAAAATGACTCATAAAGCATTCTAAAAATGCCCTCATGATACATTGAAATTACCAATAATCGAAAAGATAATAAGTACAGAATATTTATATTCCCAATCAAAGAAGTCCTGGGAGAGTTTTACAATGAACAACTCTCACCCTTGCAATTTTTTCTAGTGTTTTCCTTGCTTTAGACTGATCAGAACAGAGGAGCAGCCGAGATTTTTTAGGCTTCTAATTGGCACCTTGAAAAGAATAACCTAGGTTTGATAATTTTATACGCAATTAACAACAGCATCCATCTCCCAAATTTGCACTAATTTTTCAAAATTGGGGTGGGGGCGGGGAGGTAATTCTGGCTTCAGTAACAGTTGCAGAGCTAGGCCACTTTTCTGTGTTGTTTCAACACTCCCGTTTCTCTGGAGGAGACATCTAAGGGAGCTGGCCTCCTTCCCGCCCTGCTTCCTGCATTCCCTTGTTCTGTTCTGCTAGAAAACTGTGGGGCAAGCAGCAAGCAGATCACAATAGATATTTTTGATGAATGTTGTGAAGTCATTTCCTCCAAACACTTTGCTAAGTTACTTGAAAAGAAAACAAGGTTGGTTTTCCACCAGAGTGAGTAATGAGCAGGCCTTGCTCAACATAGCACAAATTTTCCACTTTCTTAGGAGCTTTATTTTAAGAAACATTGGAGTTTGTAATTCAGAGGTTACTCTTACTGAACATGAGATCCCAAAGCATATGGGCTTTTCCTCCCAGTTGACCAAGAAACTAGAGAAAACATGCGTTATTTTGAGTGCTATTTTAATAGGAGACAAGTTTCCTTCAGTCATCTTTTCTGCTGTACCATTAAGAGTATATTTGCATTCTACCCAATCTGTAAAATTCAGAATTTATCGTGGCACCATCTAGTAAACACAGGTTGAAGACATCTTGAGCTAGAAGTACAGCAGACTTGAAATCACCTGAGGTATTTGGGAACCATTAACTTCAGAGCCAGGTCCTCTGCTAGGCATTGCAGATACAAAGAGAAAAAGGTACATAATTAACATTGTATTCATTGAATGTGAGAAGCTGTGTAACTGTAGTGAATAAGAGCATGGCCTCCTTCAGGGGTTTGAATCCCAGCTCTGACACTTGCTAGCCATTACTTAAACCCATGCTTTTATTTCCCGTCTGTAAAATGCTCATATGGATCACATGTGTTAATAAGTCAGGCACTTGGAACAGCGTCTCTCGTATAATAAGCACAGTATGATTCTTAATGGTTAGAGACAAACCTAGACGTGCTGAACCAGAGTTCTCTCTGCTTGTTTGGCATCTCCCAGATGGAGCACCTAACAGTCATAGGGATTCAGCAGTTCTTTGGGCTTCTCAGAACCACACTGGCCCTGCGGTATTGCCGTTGGTACTGGTAAACTGGCTTTGGGCAGTAGGCTGCCCTGATTTGTAGTGTTGGCCAATTTTAGTGGTGTGCGTACCCCTGGGGTGGCCGATTTAAAAAAAATTTTTTTTTTAAGATTTTATTTATTTATTTGCGAGAGAGACAATGAGAGACAGAGAGCATGAGAGGGAGGAGGGTCAGAGGGAGAAGCAGACTCCCTGCCGAGCAGGGAGCCCAATGCGGGACTCGATCCCGGGACTCCAGGATCATGACCTGAGCCGAAGGCAGTCGCTTAACCAACTGAGCCACCCCTGGGGTGGCCGATTTAAATTTACCAGTGGCTTCCCGACAGTTCACAAAATTCCTGAATATTTACCCGCTGGCTCCCACACCCTGGTCCAAGTGGGTCCCAGCTCAACACTGGAGGTTTTTTCCAGGGCAGGCCTTTGGGCCAGCAAGCCTTTATTGAAACGCCACTGTGTACATTACAACATGCAAGGTCTATGGTGAAAGATGAGGGGAAGCTAAAAGTCATAAACACACTCTCTGCCCTTGAGGACCTCCACTTGAATTCTGAAGACAAAAGAGGTGACTCAGGACGATGTCACTGTGGAGTCTGAGCTGGACCTTCTTGGTGCTGCTCAGGTTCCTGTCATTACATCAGGGAAAGAGACCAGCAAAGAAGTGCACCATTGAATTGAGAAGTTATGTTTCAGACTGGGAAGGACTTGGGAAAAGGGGGAAATCTTTTGGGGGTAGACAAGTCGGGTCCTTGGAGGAAATATAAAAGATTCAGGCCTTGGAAATTCATTTGAAATATGTCAGCGCGGAGTTAGTAGGCATCCCTGCAGCTCTGTGGCTGGTCATTTGCAGAGATGACAGGCATAAATCTCGTGTCATCACTGAGCCTGCAGGTCTAACTATTTAAGAAGCACAGGAAGCTTCCACTAAATTACCTATTCATTTTATGCCCAAGAATAGAGGATTTCATGATACTTTCTAATTGCTTTATTTCCTCTATTTTGCTGAAAACGTTCCTGTTTGTTGGAAGGGTCCAATGTGGGATTTGCCAGTCTAATGTTATGTACTTAATTATGTGATGTAAGATACATTAAGTTACATTTTATAAACAAATGCATTATATTTTAGATTATTACATGATAGGGTATGTGATACACTGTATATTCTTCTCAAGAGAAATGAAAGGCAGGATTACAGGATTTTTTTATTGTAAGTCATAAATGGATCAACACGCTATGGCATCATTACTTCTGCTTTTTTTCCTTGCCGTTTTTCTTTCCTTAGGATGTATAAAAAATGTAGCTGCTCAAATTAAGCTGGTGATGTTTGTGGTTCTGAAACTAAAGCTATTTTGTGATAGTTTTTCACTTCCTCCTGCTAGTCTCAGCCTTTCATGGAGTACCCCTACAATCAGTGTGCAGTGGTTGGAAACGGGGGAATTCTGAATAAGTCTCTTTGTGGAGCTGAAATAGACAAATCCGACTTCGTTTTTAGGTAAGCCCTGTCAGATTGGTTTCCTTGAAACCAAAGGTCAGTTGGATATTTTAAAGAGATGCTGTAAAGATACTCCATGTAAATTTCGACCTTTGAGCTGTGTTGCTTAAGTCTACAAATTATCTAGGTAGCCTTTCCTGAAGTGTTAAATGGATCACGAGTTCCTCAGAATGTTAATACCAGAAGGATAAAACTGTGTGATGGCCACATTGCAGAAACTCCGCTTGAAATCATGGTGAAAGAGGGTCTTCACTGCAGGACTTGTCAGAGCCTTCAGTATATTGATATCATGGCTCCTTCAGAAGGACTCTGGAGAACAACATTTCTCAGGTTCACCTGGAAAAAAGAAAGAAAAAAAATATATATATATATATTGGGGCGCCTGGGTGGCTCAGTTGGTTGAGCGACTGCCTTCGGCTCAGGTCATGATCCTGGAGTCCCAGGATCGAGTCCCGCATCGGGCTCCCTGCTCAGCAGGGAGTCTGCTTCTCCCTCTGACCCTCCCCCCTCTCATGTGCTCTCTCCTCTCATCCTCTGTCTCAAATAAATAAATAAAATCTTTAAAAAAAAAAAAATATATATATATATATATATTAACAGAGCATTTCAAGGAACTTTTGTTCTCAGATACTACTCGAGAAAATGCTGACCTAAGCCTTGTATTGCCATGCAACATCATTGTTTAGTTTTCAGGCTTGAAATTAAAAAAAGAAATTGTGGAGCTTCTAAATTCTGGTCTTTTAAATTGTTTATATCTCAGTAGCAGCTAGCTGGCAAACATGGAAGCCAAAGTGGTTTGTTTCTCTGGGGGCCTGTGCTAATAATAAGCCAAGCCGCAGAGTTCCCGCGCTTTCAGAATATGATGGAAAGGTGATTCATCCCTGTGAGGATGGATTTCAATTGAAATGCACCTTTTTAAAAAGTAAGTTCGAAATCTGTTTCTTCCTATTTCAGGGGCACTGATTTCATACATCGGAGGAGAGCCTTTGATCCTTATTGATTTAATGCTGCCCTTTATAGCAACTGAAAAGGAAGCAGGATTTTCAGTCAGTAGCTCCCCTCCCCCACCCACTGCTTTACTTGAATCTCATTTAAAGTTTTTATTGCTACAGGTAACGACAGAACAGTAGACCTGACAGTCCAGCAGGTCATTGAATGTGCTCCTCATGATTCATGATAAAATGACCAATACCTGAATGATTTGGCCATTTAGTTAAAGCACTCGCTGTGAAAAAGCCATAATGAAGCTAAATAATTGTTCTTATAATAGACTTCTTATAGACTTAAAATTCTCAAAACATCTGTGGGGAGTGTTATGGCTACCCATCCATTTTACCTTATGGCAGACACACGAAATACAAGTTGAGGTTTAGGGGCGCCTGGGTGGCTCAGTAGGTTAAGCGTCTGCCTTCGGCTCAGGTCATGATCCCAGGGTCCTGGGATGGAGCCCCGCATCAGGCTCCCTGCTCCGTGGGGAACCTGCTTCTCTCTCTCCCACTCCCCCTGCTTGTGTTCCTGTTCTCGCTGTGTCTCTCTCTGTCAAATAAATAAAATATTTTTTTTAAAAAAAGCTGAAGTTTAAAAAAGAAAAACAAACAGCAACTCAGCAACTACCTAATTTTGAACTCTACAGTAAGTATGCATATTTCTAGATCCTACCTTTGCTGCTGGGGATGTGGGGATGTTTCCGAGACAGTTCTCTGTGAAGTGAGCCTTCCAGACTGAAAGGCCAAATGAGGGCTTAGATGTGGGCATGGTCATTAAAATTTATTTAAATGTTAAGCCCGTACTTATTTTGAATACACGTGTTCAGAGTTTGATAATAGCAGTCTGGAAACTGCTTATTATTGTTTGTTTTTCATTTCAAAAGTTTGGGAGCTACTAGTTAAGTGGGTAAGGCACAAAAAGAGGTGACGAGTGGTTTTACCAACTACCACAACTATTGTATGTATACAGTACTCCATATTTCCCCTTGGAGTCTCCTACGATACTCTATTGGAAATCAACTTTGATTATTTATTTATTTATTTATTTATTTATTTATACTATTCCATGATTCATTGTTTGTGTATAACACCCAGTGCTCCATTCAATACGTGCCCTCTTTAATACCCATCACCGGGCTAACCCATCCCCCCACCCCCTCCCCTCTAGAACCCTCGGTTTGTTTCTCAGCGTCCACAGTCTCTCATGGTTCGTCTCCCACTCCGATTTCCCCCCCTTCATTTGTCCCTTCACCTTTAATTTTAAAAAGAATTTGGGACTGTACTAGAAGGTAGATTTGTTATCACAGGATGTCCATTAATGCAGGCATTTCTGTATTGTCTGTGATTGATATTTATTTTTTGCAAGGTGACGTATTTAATTATTTTCTGACATGTCTTTTTTATCAATGAGAGATGTACGTGGTCCATTTGATTTTATGTTTCATAGAGTGTGGCATGCTGTTTCAACTTCAGTCCCTGCAGAACACATTACCGTGAAACAGCTTTCCTTAGGACACACCCAGAGAAGCTCCCTTTGCATGTATAGCTTTAAAGCAATGGCCTCCTTGAAATTCTGTAAACAATATTTAGGGAGTCATAACCAACTTTCCCTTTTTTGTGAAAGGAATATAATTACTCAAAATTACAATTCTTAATTTGTTTTGAGTACTAAAAACAAATTAGTACTCAAAAGAGGAAGAGAACATTTATATGAAAACATCATTATAGGAACATTAGGGTTTTATTTATTAACAACATAATTTGCTAGAAAAACTATCCGTATGGGAATCAGGGAATTTCAGGTGGTTTTTTTGTTGTTGTTTTTTTTTTTGTCTTTGCTTCTGGCAGACTCTATAACCTTAGTTGCAATGCCTCATTTTTTTTTAAATCTGTAAATTGATGATCATACCACTGTGGGAATATAATCAATAGAAATAATAATTTTAATAAAAGGATTATGAACTCTTCAGAAGCTAGGCAAGGTAATTATCATTTCTCATTTTGATATACTTAGGGTCTTAATATTGAAAGCATTTATCAAATTTGTATATTTCATGCAATGTTGAAGTGCCAATTAAGGGCTCAGTACTCATTGAAGTTTTAAATGGAAATCAGATCAATTTAGAACTCCTTAACAACCATGATTTTCTTCGATAAAATAACAGTAATTATATGTGTACATGTATGTGCTTTTTTTTATAAGTTGCATTTTGAAAATACTTTTTTCTTCAAATTTCAGGTGTAACCTCCCCCCAATCACAGGAAATGTTAGTAAAGATGTTGGCAGTAAAACCAATGTTGTGACTGTAAATCCCAGTATCATAAAACTAAAGTAAGTACCTCCAACTTACATAGCTGTTTGAGAACATTTGTTTTATTATTTAACATGTTTCTTAGTTTGAACACTACCTTGTTGCTGGAATGACTTGCAACACAACTAGAAAGGCATTTGGGAAAAAGATAGAAGAATATATTCATAATTTTTTACTTTCTCTCAAGGTTGTAGGTTATAAGAGGTATGACCTCTCTTTTTTTTTTTTTTTTAAAGAAAACCATTTTATTTTATTTTAAAGACCTCATTCTTTATTTTTTAAAGTAATCTCTACACCCAGTGTGGGGCTCGAACTTACAGCTCTGAAATCAAGAGTTGTACGCTCTACCACTGAGCTAGCCAGGCATACCAACCAATTGTACTTCTAATGTCGTAAGCTGAACATTACTAATCAAGTGAGAACTCATTTATTTCTTCATCTTTTTTAACAATAGTGAAGTTACTTTTGAGAATTTTCTTTCAGAATTTTAGCATTACTCTTTTATCTTGGGAGCAGTTTCTTGATAGAACAGTTTATTTAGAAACTTCAGAGAATGAGTCTTAGGAGAACTTGGCCAAAAAAAGAAAAAAAAAGTTTTTACTATGGATAATTTATTAACAAAAAATAATTCTCATATTTCATTTTTCACAGTGTAGCCACTACAAAATGTTCCTGGTTAATAAAAATCCCATCCATAGCTTTACTCCATTGTTTTCATCAAAATTGACTAATAATCATTACTAATAAAATACACGATATACTCATATAGTTCTAGTATCTCTTAAGATCATGTGAAATATTGTACCTGCATCCCAAAAATTTACTTTCTAGACACAATCATGCATACTCTTATATTTACTAAGGTATTATTTAAATCAAACACACAGAACTATCACGATACATAAGGGAAATTTAAAATGTGTGTGTGTGTGTGTGTGTGTGTGTGAATATAGATATTTTAGGTTCTTTATAGGAAACTTTTATTTTATGATCACATATACAAAAAGATACACAGATCACCAGTGTACAGCTCAGTGAATTTTTTTAATGTATATACATTTTAAGAGTGTCCTATGTTTGAGGGGTTGCCTGGGTGGCTCAGTCGTTAAGCGGCTGCCTTTGGTTCAGGTCATGATCCCAGAGTTCTGGGATAGAGTCCCACATCGGGCTCCCTGCTCAGCGGGGAGTCTGCTTCTCCCTCTCCCACTCTCCCTGCTTGTGTTCCTGCTCTCGCTGTGTCTCTCTCTGTCAAATAAATAAATAAAATTTAAAAAAAAATAAAGAGTGTCCTATGTTTGAGAAAAAGTCAGTCATTATTAAATTGGAAGGTATTTCTGTATCAAAAAGCTACCTTAGAGAAAAAGTTTACTGAGTTGGAAGATAAAATAATCTAAGAAATAGGTGTCCAGTAAGGATATAGCCCAGTAAGAAAATATAAATGAAAGCCTTGGGACACCATGAAAGATCGATGAAGACCTAGCCTTTGATATTTATAGGAGGCTTACTTGTACTTGAACTCTTGAGTCCACTGCCTATCTCTTACACACAACCATGATATAAATAGTTCAATGGCCCAGCCAGTGGTAAATTCAGCCTTATGTAACCCAAACTGCTACTTTGATTATAATGATGATGATGTGGTTTTTTTGTTTGTTTGTTTTGTTTTTTGTTTTTTTTTTTAATTTGTCAGATATGGGAACTTAAGGAAAAAGAAAGAAACATTTCTGGAGGACATTGCAACCTATGGAGATGCGTTCCTTCTTCTGCCAGCATTTTCTTTCAGGGCCAACACGATTGCCTCTTTCAAAGTGTACGACACCCTAAAGGAGTCTCAAGCAAGACAGAAGGTTCTATTTTTCCATCCCAAGTACCTGAGAAATCTTGCCCTTTTCTGGAGAACTGAAGGTGTGACGGAGTTTCGCCTGTCCTCTGGCTTGATGATCACAAGTGTGGCAGTTGAACTGTGTGAGCACGTGAAGCTGTATGGATTTTGGCCCTTCTCTAGAACGGTTAAAGACACACCTGTCAGCCATCACTACTATGACAATAACTTACCTAAACGTGGTTTTCATGAGATGCCTAAGGAATATAGACGAATTCTCCAACTTCACTTGAAAGGAATCCTCAAATTACAATTTAGCAAATGTGAAATAGCCTAAGCATAGTGCTTTAAATGGTAATAGTTTTAATAGAGTGCCATAGGTGAGTAATGGTGTTTCCCAATGCTAAAAGCATTGGGTGTAGGGCTAATAGGAAGAGCCCCAAAACTTGGTTTGAGCAAAGCTCCCCACTAAGCTTGCAACCCAGCAGCTCATGCAGTTGTCCTGATCTTCAGTTTCCCTCCCTGTAAAATGGGGACCATGATATCTAACTCTATCTAATAATCTATGAAAACTCTTGGCAAAGGATTGGTGTGAGGTAGGGACTCCATGAATATTTCCTTGTTGCTCTCTAGAACTACCGGTTCCACGCTCAGCAGAGTGATAATAAAAGGCATGCTGTTTTGAAGACCCTTCCTGGAGAGAACTGCTGAATTGCCAGTTTTCACTGGGGTTCTTTCTCAAGCAGGCCTCTCTATTAATAATATCCTTCTCATCCTCCTTCCTGTCCTAAAGAGTGCATCTAAGAAATTACAGCAAACCCTTGATGATTCAGGAATGAAATCCTCCTCTTTGGGTAGTAATGTGCCTGCTTCTGATTACCTTCACTAGGGTCATTAGCTGCAATGATGTGTCCGGCTGGATTTAGGCCAATTGTTTTCCTCCTTTATTTACATTTTTAAATCACTCTTCATAGTTTATATTAATTTCCTGCCTTCCTCTTAAGCCTTTTCCACTCCCACTCACAGGAACTGTTTTAAGAGCATGAAGAGTTACAATAGCCAGTTTTTCTTACCTGGTGTCTGTGGAGTCATATATTCAGTTTATTTTATAAACAAATTATCCAACAGCTATTTCATGCCAGGCCCTGTAGCAAGCTCTGTGAGAGGGACCTAAAGGTGACCAAGTCCTGTAGGAGGAAACGGACATGCATATGACCAACTGTTGTTATGACAGCTATGAAGAAAGTACTATGAGGAACAGAGGCAGGAGTAATTCAGTCTATTTCAGTGGACTCTGTTTCGGAGAAGAGGTAATTGCTGAATAAAACCTAGAAAGTGAGTAAGGTTTTAATAAATGAAGAAGATTCTAGGTAGAGGGAATATGATGGGGGAAAAAGCAGTCCCCTTGATTCTGATTCACCAAAATGAGGATATTTGAAGGTAAATCATGGTCTTTGCCCCAAGAACTATCACTTGAAGAGAGGTTGTAGCATATGAGGATGGTGGCTTGGGCCCACCTCTGAAACGGGAGTCATTGTGACCTGATAGATTTCACAGGAAAACGGTAAGGATTAAAATACACCAAAACTTAATTCTCATAAAGAAAGGTATATATTTACATGAGAAATAGGACAAATAATTTAAACATCAGTATCAAATAAAGCTTAAGTTGTATTGATTATTACCATTTTCACACCACTCCCTACATTATGATGATACCTGTTAATGTAGGTCATCCCTTCATCTACTGAATAAGTTCTTTGATGACTTAACTAAGTGACTACATTTCTACTTTGCCTGTTTGTCTTTGTACCATCATGAGGAGGGCAGAAATTGGGGTGGAGCCGACTTGTCAGCATGCTGAATTAATTACAAATAAAATTCTGAATTCTTATCTTAGCCAGATGATTGTTTTACTAAATGTTCCCTTTTAAGACCATTCTGCTGTCAGTCACTTATTTTGGCAAAGTACCTCGTTCCTTTCATTGTTGTTGACATTTTTTTTATGCCATTCTTTGTTCACATTTTATTCTTCTATAGCAGATGAAACCTATTAGCTCCATAAATTGCTTAAAAATTCATATATAAATATTTTCCAAAAGGAGCATGCTTTTAGTTACATGAAGTCTAATTTATTTATCTTTCTTTCTGTGCAAATGAGTAAGTGGTTCTTTTCTATTGCTTCTAATGGATTTAATTTGTTTTTAAAACTCTGCTGGCAGTATAAGTAATGTCTATCATGTTACTAACGGTGATTATTAAAAATAGAACATTCTAATATTTTATAGTTAGCAAAATGCTTCTCTTAAAATGTTTTCTGGGGAGTAGAACCTTAAACTTTTCTTTTTGATGATATTGGAAATAGATGATTAAGGAGTAAAAGTAATAGAATATATTGAAATCAATCATTAAATATACAATATGGAGATTTTATACTATGGTTTAATAAAAATTACATATGATTAACACAGAACTTAAGTTTTTTCCCATATAACTTCCTCTTTTAACTTGGGAGATTTTCTCTATAATATCAAAATAGAATCTTTAATGTCACCGATACAAATTTCAGAAGTTCACAAACTTCTTGGGGGCTTCGCAGGTGTAATCTAAAACTAGTCCCTATACACCGAACACAGCGAGAGACCAAAGAAAGAGGAAGGCCACTCCAGATTTGGTAGATGGTAATTTTAATAAGCAGGGGACCTTGCGTATGGGACCATCTTGGGTGGCTGCAAGACTAGTAGATCTCCACATTTGTCTGGTAAACTTTAAAGTTTGTGGAGAGGCCTTAACTAGGTTCAGATATGTATACTGTCCAGATGGTCTCAACACCACATTGCTGTCTCAAGGCTATGTCCTTGGGCAGCTTCTGGGGTCAGGGAAGGCAAATAGAATGCACATGCCAGGGACGGGGGAGGGAAAAGGAGCCTCCAGTTGCTAGGGTCCAGCTCATGGATCAACTGGCTGTCATATTCTCTCGATGACCTCTCCTGACACTGTGAGATCAAGAAGCAGTGTCCTAATGATACCCATGTTCCACTAAAAGTTCAGTAGAAAAAAAAAATGGAGAAAATGGTAGGCCTTTCTACAAGAGACATAACTAAAGTTGGTTTTCTGCTAAACACTTGTACTGCCATCCTAAAAGCATGTTGAAATTTTGCAGCATTCCCAGCTAGGGTCACCTGTTAACCAAAAGTCTTTGGTCGAAAAGAACATGTGCTTTCTTTGTGTCTCTTTCCCGAGTTGATCCATGACTGTTGTGAAATCTGTGGGAGGCCTCATTTCATATCCTAACGTTTCCTCTTTGGCAGAGGATGACCTTCCCCATGTCCCATTAATGATGTGTCAATAATGTTTTGTTCCAAAGGAGAATTTTTTGAACTTTCTAAAATACAACAGAACGTACATTTTGATAATATAACATATCAGCTATGTGAGTTATAAATCATGAGCCACAGTTCTTTTTGTTCTATAATGGTAAATTATTACAAGTTTCACACTAAGATCAAAACAAAAAGAAAAATATGAACTCCATTGTATAGATTTATAGATTATCCACCAAGTCTGACTGTGACACTCTCAATAATCTGTGGGCATAATGAGCATTGCTTAAATGTTGATGGATTGGATTTGATCTTCTGCTCTTAAACTTGAAGTACATCCATGGGCATTGAATATAGAAAGTCTGAGTACTGCTGCTAGACAGTATGAAACTTTAATGGGGACTCCAGCTCATAGTACCACATATCACCAGTTTCTAGGGGAAATACTAGTTTGCTTGATTCTATTTTTTACTTGTTGTTCAGCATCCCTGGGCAATGTAACCAAATAGCAAAATTCTAAAAGAATTTTCATCTAAATCTGAGGGTTAGGCAAAAATGTTCATGTAAGCACATAGTACTTGCTGCTGTGTCATCTCTGGAAAGGAGTCTTTGAACAATCACATAGAGTTTAACATTACACAGTATAATAGTCCTTGAAGTCTCTGATTTTTTTCTCCTAACAAAAAGGAAAGGCAAATAGATCATGATTCTCATGAAAGAAGATTTCCTTTTGCATGTAAATATGTGGGCTCTCAGCCAGGTAATCAGCCAAGGACTTTTTTTTTTTTTTTTTTTTGGAGGACTTTCTGTGTATAGAATACTGAATTAAGCCATAAATCAGACTTGTTTGAGGCTAGGTTTCTTCTTACAAAAAAATGTACCAGTTCAATACTACATCATGTCATGCACCCTAAATCATTCCATGAATTTCAGGAAGCTTTGGGAAAATTGGAAAATCTTAGAGATAACAGATCTGCTCACATCCTAAATAGCTACCTTAGAAGTACTGTTAAGATGCAATGTGTAGTATAGTTATGACATTCAAAACATTTTATTTTTGTAACAGGACATGAAAATATATTGTTATGCCAGTAAACACTGAAGGAATTTCAGAGAGTCACATGAAGTATCTGAAGCACTTGACCTAATAAGATTATTTCTTACTTTATTTTTGATTTTTAACTCTCCTGGGTAATTTCAAGGTTTCCTATTTGCATATGACTTCAGAAGGCTGACTCCATAGTGAAACTCACAATTCCTTTCCTGAAGATGGATGAACAGGAATAGTTCTTTTGCCCATCTTCTCTTACTGGGTCATCAGTCTTCTAAGAGCATTCTTCTTTTAAGAAAGATGCAAGTGATATATTATAAAGATACATTGCTTACATATGGAGAAAAGATGTTATTTTCACATATTCTTTCTGTCCCTTTTCCTTCTCCCTTTTTAGGGACACCTGTTAATATACATGAAACTTCTTGAAATTTGTTCTTTAGCTCACAGACTCTCTGTCATCTGTTCATTCTTCCTTTTTTTTTTTTTTTTTTTGTCTTTCGTTTTGGATAGTTCCTATCCCTGTATCTTCAACTTGACTAATATTTTCTTTTCCAGTGTCTAATCTGGTGTCAATCCCATCCAATATGTTTTTCATTTCAAACATTGTAGATGTTCAATTTGTGCCTTTTTATATCTTCCATGTCTGCATTTAACATGCTTGTTCACTCCTCTACCTTCTTGAACATATGGAATAGACTTGTTACCCTTTCAGTGTCCTTTTTTATTAATTCTATCATCTGTGTAATTCCTGGATCTGTTACCATTGATAGATTTTTCTCCTCAATATGAGTTGTATTTTCCTGCTTCTTTGAAAGTCTGAGAGTTTTTTATTGAATGCCAGATACTGTGAATTTTACTTTGGTGGCTGTTGAATATTTTGGTGTTCCTAAAAATATGTGAAGATTTGTTCTGGGTGAAATTAAGTGACTTGTAAACAGTTTTTGAGGCTTACTTTTAGTCTGTGTTATTTAAAACCATAGCAGTGCTTATTCTAGGGTAAATTTTTTCTCACACTGAGACAATACCCTTATGAGTGTCCTACTAAGAGCCCCAAGATTTTCTTTTCTATCTGGGAAGAATGTGAATTTTTCTATCCTTTTTAACTTTGAGGAGTTGTTTCATCTGGGTGATTCTTTTCCCAGATTTAGGCATTTTCCTCACATGTGCTGGTCAATACTCAGCTGAAGGCTAGAGGAGATTTCTCTCTAGATGGCCCTCTCCACTCTGGATCTACATGGGCATCCCTGACTAATTCTATAATGTCTACTCGGAGAGACCACAGGACTCTGCTTGAGCTTCTGCTCCTGTGCTGTGGCCTAGCAACCATCTAAGCAGTAAGCTAGGGCAACTGTGGGACTCCACTAGCCTGGGTGCTTTTTCTCAAGGATTACCTTCTTGAGTTGCCTAATGTCCAATGTCTGCAAACCACTGTTTCATGTATTTTGTCTGTTAGTTTTTAGTTGTTTGGGGCAGGAGGTAAAACCTAGTCCCTGCTACTCTACCTTATCCAGAAGGAGAAATTCCCCTATGATTTGATTTTTGTAGTGTTTGTCACCTGTCTTTTTTTGGGGTTGCTGGAAATATCTTCTAGAAATTTCCTTTGCCCATCTGAAATTTGGCCTGTTTTTTTTGTTTTGTTTTGTTTTAACCCCAGGTTCTATGATAGACTACCAGAAGTCAGTGGGATCCCATGGGACTCATTTTGTTATAAGAACATAGTAAAAATATTTTATTAAGTGTTTGCTATACACTTGGCACCTGTACAAGAACTTGGCTTACATTATTTTATCTTATTTAAACCTGAGTCTAAGGGGTAAATTTGATTATCTCTATTTTTATATATGAGAAAACCAGCTAAGAGAGGCTAAAAAACTTGCCCAAGTTTATATAGCATATAAGTGTCAAAATCAGGTTTCAAATTCAGGTTGTATGCCTAAAGCTGGTGTGCTTCATCAATATTTTATTCTCTCTTTAGTGTTATCGTTGTGTGTGTTGCTTTGTGTAGGAAAATAATGTCATCTAAAATGTTTAAATTTTAGAATTACATCCACATCACTTTGGGTTTTTATTTCTTTAGTTGCCTTAGTCCTCTTGGTAAGTTCCAAATTTTAACTTTTCTAAATTAAGGAACGATGATTCAAGCTTGCACAATACATTTTTATATATCTTACTATATTCACTCTAAATTTTAATTAATTTTGGAAGTTTCTAATATGTTGTATTCTCCTGAGTTCTTTTGAAATGAGCATTTAATGGGATAGATTAATTTCTTTTCTTAGCCTGATACTATTTTATTTGTTTTAAGGTGTTGTGTGTGTGTGTGTGTGTGTGTGTGTGTGATATTCAATAAAATACCAACACATTATCGTATCCCTTGCCTTTTGAAGACCTCAAAGAGATTCGAAATCCTTGCTTCAGCTATTACAGAGTATTCTTTGGAGACTAATATCACCAGTCTCATCTGATATGGAAATGTGAGCAATCAGAAATCTGTTAAAGATTTGCCAAAGATCATTTTGAGCCAAGTTAATAGCAAGTACTCAGTGTGCCAGGCAACCAGCAAACCTGATACCATTTATTGAAAGTTCCTTTGCACCAAGGACTATGCATAATACTTTATGTATATTATCATGAATTCTTGAAAGATTGCAATGTAGTGGTCAATTTGATTTTCTTAGATGAGAAAATGACTCAGGAGGGTCAGAGTACCTTCAGCTGAAATATCAGAAATCTCCATCAAACTGGCTTAAATTGTGTAGAATTCTTGGCCACAGATCTAGAAGTCCCAAACAGGGCATCCTAAGAACTTTTGTTCTGACTTCATTTCCCTGCAAGAGTCCTAGTTAGGTTTTACTCGGTGTGTTGACTTCATCCTAAGACTTGTTGTTGAACAAAAGCAGCACATGCAGGCCTCATAAATGTGCATCGGTACATATCCAGAGAAGAGGAGAGAGCCACTTCTGATGCTATCCCAGAAGAAGGAGAAAGAGCTTTCCCCAAAGCTCCATCAAATCTTTCATTCTTTCTCATTGGTTCACATTGGTCACATGAACATTCCTAAACCAATCATTGGCAAAGGGAATATGGAGCCGACTTTTACAATTAATCCTACCCCTGGGATAATAGGCTTCAAGGGGAATTATTGTGTACCTGTACAAATTTAGGTTTCTGTTGAGAAGGAGGAAGGGAAGAAGAGACTTTGGGTGGATATCCGACCATAACTGCTACAAGTCATTTTCCATGTCACTCACCTACTAAGTGATT